GTGTGTGTGTGTGTGTGTGTGTGTGTGTGTGTGTGTGTGTGTGTGTGTGTGTGTGTGTGTGTGTGTGTGTGTGTGTGTGTGTATATATATACACACACACACACTATATTTCATGGTTCAGACCAATTTTACAGTTCAACTAAAGCTATTCACAATTGTAAAACACATTCCTTCCCTTATAGGTTCTGTTACGTCTCTGGTCGTTAGTTAATTTTACGTAAAAATTCTTTCCGAAGAAACTTTAGCGATACAAGTCCTTTCTTAAATAAAACTGGTTTATTCTTTCTGAATACAACTTTGCAATACACCTAATTTCCACAGTCGCGCTATAAATCACAACGAACGTCTCACGTGCTCAACTCAACTGTCAATTACACATAGATGACGTCACTTCTTGGCGGCTTATATATACAAGACTACCGCATATCTAGTAAAAGCTCGAGACTTCACGAACCTTCGAGAATATGACGTATTACTTGTATTACAATTAAATTACAATTACTAATTGTACTGACGTGAAAGTTGATACCTCCTAACGTTAATATCTAAAATTAAAAAATATTAGCGATGTTACCTTTGAAATCTGGAATGTTATATATTATGCAATTTAAAACTCCAATTTTAGTAAAGGACTTTTTGAAATTACCGTTTTGCACCAAATCTTCCATTTTAGTAAAAGAAAGACAAGACACCAAGTACTTATGCATACATTTTATTACAATATTGCAAAATATGTATTAATACAAACAGAATTAGTAATTCTGTAAGATTGTCAGAGACACTTATACAATACAAAATTTCCATATAACAATTAACATATGATTTATATTAGAATAAATATGAAAAAAATGCTACTTGTAAAATATTTGTTTAAAAATGTAGTTAGAAATCAATTTAATAGTTATGTCAGAAGACCATATTTATTATTTTAGATCATTAGGATGTTGGCATACTGTTATTTGATTTTCTTTCCATTTCTCTTTCTGGAAACTATAAAAAAAAAAATAATAATCAACATTGGACTTTTCTTACAAGGGTAAGATTGTCAGAGACACTTATACAATACAAAATTTCCAAACTCTATTAAAAAACTACAAGAAAAGTTTAAAAAATATATTCTACCAGATGGAACAATACTCTGGAATTGGACACAATTTTTAAAATATCAGCTTCTCTCACCTTAAGAAGAAAGTTGTTCAACATATTCAGGATGGAGGTCTCCAGAATTTTAAGGTTATGCCTGAATTCTGTCAACATCACTGTACTTATTTCATTCAAATTCTTTATCTAAAAAACAGAAGATATTATAGGCTAGTGATTTAACATTTATTTTGAAGCAATATTTACTAAAATATTGTATACATATTTCAAAAAAATTTTTTATAGCAATAGCATAAGTAGGAATGTTGTATTATTTAGTAACTTTGCTTTGAATCAAACAAGAACATGACATATTGAAGAAAAATATTCTATCCACTTTTGAAAAATTGGAACTAAAAAAACTGGTATGAAATGCTACATAGAAAGTTTACCCATGCTGCTACATGCCATAAAACTAAGTTTACTGTAACAAAACTTAAAGGCATGGGCCTATTCATGTAAATGTGTTGATGTTGCTCCTACCATTTTAATAAAGCATATTAAGGCATGCATAAATAGATCAATTTTAATAGGTTATAAAAAAAAAAAAAGACTTCGTAACATGTTTTTAAACCAACTTTAAATGATTTATACAAACTTGCTTAGATTATTATTTCAGATAAACATACAGACAAGGAGATTCAACCTAAGAAACCTCAGTAATGATTGTACTAAGAAACAATAAATTAACAAAATTATCCCCCCCCCCCATGATGCCAAAGCTCATTAATTTAATAATATGCAAAAAACTGTTTTCACAAGTCTACATAAAATTTTTTTACATCGATATTTAAGGTAGAAGAACATACCCGAGTTAACTGATTATGCAAGTGTAGAGAATACTTCTGAGCAAATGCTATGTTCTCTTGTAGTGCAGCAGGGAACGTTTGAAAGGTTGTAGCTAGACCAGTGTAAGTATTTACCAGCTGTTTAGTCAATCGTCTGGCAATTGAAACAGCTTGTTGACCTACAGTCTAAGAAGATTAGAAATAATAATTATTCCTTTATTTGCACTATTTGTGAAAGGTTGTTGAAAATGTTATTGTTCTATTAGTATACATAGATAAAGGATCACATTAACAGTGAATCTTACCTTTAAATAGTTTTTGTTTACCAATCCTCATATCGTGATATTTAAATGAACTGATTTTTACTTTTTGGTGTATAATTTTACACTAAAAATCATGAAATGATGGCTAAGCCTTAGGTTTTGTAATAATAATACCAATCATAACATTACAATATAATTTGAAGCATTATCAAGTGAATTTCAATAAAGCAATGAAGGCACACATGCTAATTTACAAAATAAATACCTTTTGTGAGGAGTTAGCAGCAATTTCTTCAGATTCATTTCTGTTTAATTCTTCCCATAGCCAAGATGCATTTTTCTGAACATTATCTATAGTGCTGTGGAATTTCTGATTAACATCATCCTGTATGTTATCTCTGGCATACTGAATCTAATCAAAAGTAGGAAATTAAGAAAAAACAAACAAACAAACATGAGACAACGTAAAAAGATTTTTCAGTTACAATCAAGAACTTTTAGTCTTATAATTTTGAAATATATGTAAAGTTCTTTAGTAAATGTTTAAGAACTATTGAAAATATACACATCTTTAGTTATCATTGGAAAGCTACTTACAATAAAATTAGTTATCTGTACAAGTTATACTTCTTCCCCAAAAACAAATACTGAATTCCCAAACACGCTAGTAAGTTATCCTAAGTTAGGAGCATACCAGATCCACAGTAAAGTACAATTTTGATACAGTTTCTTGGCTTCGCATTTGGATATTCTGAAACTTTTCCATAGCCCGGTTGTGCAAGCGTTTTTTCATCTTACTGGATAGATGACCAATTCTTTCAAAGCTGATATCTTTGTGTAACTCCTTTTTTTCATTCAGGTTTTCAGATACTAATGCTGTTTAATAGGATTTATATACAGTATTATTAATAGCAGTGAATCAAAATTATTCCCATCAATATTCTTATTTTATCTTCAACTTTACCATTATACATAAGAATAAACTAAAGCAAAAAAAAATTAAATTCCAGTTACTTGAAATTAGCTTATTTTATATATAAAAAAAGATGTTGAGCTTACGTACCCCAAAAGTCAAAGTTTAAATATGGTCGATGAACTGATGAAGGACACATAATCCAGGTTTAACTTTATACTAAGTAGGGGTATCCATTAAGGAAGCAAAAATTGTATAAAAACCAGTGTTAGATAATGTCTCCTTTCCTTCATTTATTAAATCCATAATGACTTCAATAAATGCTAATTGCATATCTTGCTTTGTGGAAGGTAATTATGGTCTCATTTAGATGATTAAGTACTCGTATCTTTAAATTCTGAGCCAAGTTCTATGCGTAAAAATGGAAATGTGCCTTATTTCAGGGGCTGTATTATTATTATTATTTTTAATACTCTCTTCTTGAGGAAAAATATACAAACAAGATATCCCATATACAACATCTGACAGTTTCTATTTACCATACTAAAAATTATGGTAGTGCAAGCTCACCCTAGGTGGTGGATGTTAAGACATACACACACAAAATGGATCATCTTTACAGTAAGAAGCCTTAAGAGTAAAATGAAGTTAGAACTTGAAATTTATGATTAGACAATGCAACTACCTACAATAAAATGTCAATATTTAGGAAGAGTATATATTGAATTTCTAAACATTGAAGAAAAAAAAGGAAAAAAAAGTTTTTAATACCATTAGAATATTTTGCAAATTTAAGAGTTTGAGCTGTGTATTAATAAACTTAAAAACATTTATACAACACAAAGAAAACTGAACATTTTACCTTGATCTCCAGTAGGTGGGAGATAGTAATCAATGCAGCTTTCTGTTACAGCTAGAGCCTTGTCCACAGAGTCAACAACCAAGACATAAGGTGAAGTAATTAGCTGTGAAGCCTTCTGGTAACCATATTGTTTGATTTCTTGTACCTAAAAGTAAACAAGCTGTAGAATATAATAGGATACAGAATCACATTTGTCTTGCAGGGAGACAAATAACAAGCACACAAATATCTACTAATTATAGTGGCTTTATAAAGATGTTAAGTTGGTCAAAATAACATTTTTACCTTGTCATTTCCATAGTTCTTAATTCCATCATAGTGGTTAAATCCCTTCTGCAGACTTGAGATGTAGAAGTCTTTGGTGTTTTTCAATATCTGAAAAGAAAAAAATTTAAAAATACAAAGAAGACTGTAGACACTATTCTTCCCTAAACCATAGAACTATGCTTAATTAAACAAACACCAAGGGTTATTATAATTAAAACTATTTGTTTTATATTAGTTTGAAGACTTATATTGCAGATTCAAATTCGGTGACGAGGAACCCACTTTGAGACTAATAATGGCTGGAGACGGCTTGAATGGGTAATGAAGAAAAACTTTAATACAAGTTTAACATAACAGCAAATGTACAATGTTTCGACAAGGTTTTTCATTACCCATTCAAACAGTCTCCAGCCATTATTATATTGCAGATATTGAACCAAAAAATATACCATAAATTACATCAGAACTATTGTTAGAAAATATAACAAAACCAATATTACATTTATTATTTCACACAAAAATTTATTTTTGTGGCTAATGTGTATTACACTGTACTGTACAAATTAAGTATACTTTGTATTTACAATACATAGAAAAATGACCTTCCCCTATTTAAGTAATGGTGTGCATCTATAAGCTGTTCACCATCAGGTGAATATAAGCTTGTTCTACAAATCAAATATATATGTATCCATTTTCAAGATAAGGAATAAAAAGTTAATGAAAGTTGAACAGTGACATAAGTAATGGTTATGTATTAAGCCCTCACGATACATAAATTGTCATTTACATACAAACATTATTACAGATTGCTCCCCCATACAGTACGGTTTAAAAATATTTTTTGACTACGACCATGTTAAAAATAAAACTTAAAACTATGAAGTTTTTTTCTTAAGTTATGTAATCTCATGTTCTTGTTTATCAATGCAATTTGTTAAAAAAAAAAAATACCTCTTCTGGACTCTTAGTAACAATTGGTGCTTTCTCCTGTAGTTTATCAAGACCTTGACAGGCAAGGTTGTCTATCTTTTGAACTAAATGATAAAAAATAAAATAATAATATGTTAAGTGAAAGTAATAAATATTTTTAGAAATTAGACAAATGGCTTTTACAGCATTAAACAATAAAAACAACTTTGAAGAGGTAACTCATGCATTTAGAATCTGTCATTCAAACTAATATTAATCTTAACATTATAATAAAGGTCTGTATGAACATGCATTGACCATTCTTTCCGAAATTAAATTGAATATTACAAATACACAGTTGTACAAGTTTTGTTACAGATTCATATTCACTTACTTGATCCTCCAAATTTAGATAAAACTGGGCCTGCTTGCTCAGCAACAATGCTAACAGATTTTTCAGCTGTAGCTAAAGCACCATATACCAAGCTGTTGGACTCCTTGATATGACCATAGGTAGATGTTACATAACCTAATGCTGTTGACATAACTGGTAACATTGATATTTTTGCAATAAATTGACATCCAACCTCTTGTTGCTGCTGCTGGCTCATTATTTCCACCTCAGGCATTTTCTGATACTTAGAAATTATGTAGTTATATCTGAATGGAAATATCACAATTTATTTGAAAAGTTCACCAAGATCACCTTAAAAAAAATCAAAAGTTAAGTCAATGTTTGTTTATTTCATTACAAGTTACAGCTTTTACAGTAAATACAATTTGTATTTCGATGAGTGGTGCGATCATTCAAGTACACAGTTGTACCTGTTCTAAATACAAATCTTTCTTACTGTAGAAGCTGCAACTTGTAACAAAATATTCTTAATCAGTAAGTAAGCTCGAAACGGAACCATTAATTTGTTATTTGTAGGGCAAAATCACATTCGGCTATCTACTGTATATACTGCGGGGAATCGAACCGCGGATTCTACGTTGTAAGTCCGTAGACTTCCTACCATTCCACCGGGGGACAAAATTAATACAATAAAACATGTTGCGTGTTTTAACGATCAAGGCCACAAAAAACAAAGTAATTATTCACGAAAACTTCTACGTAGTGCTATTGGAATACCACATTTTGATTCTACCTACAATTACAAAGAAGAATTTTAAAAAAAGAACAAAAGAAACGTTATTCATAGTAATTAACAATCTAAACCGATTTCCACAAACATTACTATTTTCGATGACGAGAAACCCACTTTGAAAACAATAATGCTTGGAGACGGCTTGAATGGGTAATGAAAAAACTAATACAAGTTTCTTCATTAACCATTCAAGCCGTCTCCAAGCATTATTAAAAATTACTATTATTCAAACTTACGTAATTTTTTTTAACTTCTAAGATTAAATAATCAACCTAACAAAACTTTAAAACAAATGTTTTACCAATATTCGTCAAATTAATTTCTCAAACAACTCTACCGCATAGAAACACAATCCTATCCTGTATTACTAATAGCCTTCAGACTTATATAGCGACCGATGACGTCAAGGTTATGACAAATATACACGTGCTAGTAATTGCATGATTAAAGGCCAATGATCATTCGAAAAAAAATTGGTGCTACAAGGTTAATCATTACTCACGTGAAACTAAACGACCTCTGACGGTCATGAAGACATAAAGAAAGAATTTCTCATTGTCGTGTCATGTTTATGAAATGATATCCTTTGATGAAATTTTAGGTAGTCACTTTTTATAAGTATTTTGCACAACTTGTCTTGGAAAATTATCACTTCAAACTTATTTAATTGAACGATTATACTCTCAAGTTCTTCTTAATATTTAATGCAATAAATATTTTTTTAATTTTATTATGTCTATAGTGGCTTTATTGGTTGAACAACAGCGCTTTACCCAAAAGGTCAAATATTTAAAATATGTCAACTTTCTATCACGACTTGTTTTTTATAAGTTGTTATCAACTTAGAGACTAAAAATACTCTTTAATGATTTTATAAGAAATGCTTTATGGATAACAAAGGTGTAGTATGCTTTGGAAAATGCATGATGATGAGGAACCCACTGTGCAGGTAAATATATATATATATACAGGAAAGACATCTAATATGGGTAGAGAAAACTTTTATTTGAAAAGCACAAAAATTTAGTGCTTTTCAAATGAAGGTTTTCTATGCCCATATCAGCCGTCTCTATTATATATATATGCTTTGAAAAAATTGAATTATGCGTATAGAAATAGTTGACGCCTTTCAAAAAGACCATTGATAGATGGCGTTCACAACAGTAAACCAATGAGTGAGAAGTCCGCAATTGTCATAAACCTGATAATTCATTACATGTAAGTTAGATAATTGTAATTTTATCTAAATAAGCATTAGGTGGTAAACTTAGTCTATTTTCCAATTTCAGGTTTTATAAGAGTACAGTATTTATTTTTAGATTATTGTAAAGCTATCACTATCAATCACATGTAAAACATCACGTTATGTACTATGTGCAGTATACACGATATTATTATATAGTAATAGTATACTGTATGTTAAAGTACATTTACAGTTAACATTATTTGCTGAGTACTATGGAACAAGAGTTCACTGAACACTCTAGGCCCAAACTAAACTAATATTAGTGATTAAACCTTACTAACTGACCCTGTGTTTTGGTTTTTATTTTTAAGTTTTAATAATTTCTATTGACTATTTGGGTACTGGATGTTAAGTAGTATGCTTGTAATTGAATTGAAAATAAGTACATTCTGACAGAACACTTTTTGTGTATGCAAAAAAATCCGTTTTTAAAATTGAAGTTCAATTTGATATAATACTAATAGTTATTGCAAATTAACCTTTTGTCATTGTTAACGTGACACTGTTAATATTGTATCAGTTCATACTTACTGAAATTGTAACTTTCCAACTAGAAGGCCACAAAGTATTGAAAAGGTAACTTAAAAAATAGATTGCATTAACTTCACTAAGGCTTAGTTTAGTTCATCTTTCACATGTCTTTAAAATAATGGATGTACTTGGTGACTAGTAGTGTTCTGACTAAGAACTTAATGAGAACAGTATGGACTTTCACTGCTAATGGGTAAAATGAGTATATTTAATGTTGTTGTATTGGGCTATTTTATTTGGTGGGTTCTTATGGATTATGTTTTTAGAAAATAATAGTTAATAACAACAGAACTTACAAAATCATTTAAATTTTTGTAACTTGAGTAATTGGTAATTTTTTGCACGTTCTGCTAGAATTAGTTTCATGATTTTCTAATAACTATCACCAAACCTTATAAAACTTCAGTTTTTTTAATTTTGTGGATAATAACATGGTTTGGATTAGTTTTCAGCCAAAGAGACTTAAATGTTATCGAATACTGTCACCATCTGATGGGTTAATCAAGATTTTTGGCCGGATGGTGGCAGTGTCCATTTGAGTTTGAGAAGTTAACAAACCTTCACATATATGCTCAAGTTCATGGTAGACGATTATTGTTCAGTTTCATTTTAATGACGATATTCTCAATATCTACTTGGGAGTTTGTACGTGGATTGATGATTGAGGGAATACACTGTTGGTTCCATCTCTGATGTTATTCTAGAAATGCTTGCAACAGGAACATTTGGTTCTTAGCAGGTTGATATACTTCTGTTGAAGTCTTCTCTGAAGCTAACAAACCAGTTGTCTGTTCTTCTGCTGACATACCTCCAAAGATGGCTACAGTGGATGTGCTTTGGTTTGGACCACCTGTGTTTTTGGGTTCTGCTCTGTTGCACTAAAGATCGGTTGTCTTAATTATCTTGTGCTTCCACTCTTGTTGTCAAGAAATTCAACTTCTGATGCTGTAACTGTAGTGTAGCACAGGGATTTCTTAGCCCTAGACTGTGGAATTGTTTATAACAAATTTAATTTCATATATAGGTTTGTGTATGAAATCTATTCCCAATATCTACCCTTTCTCAGTTTCAGTTATGTTGTGTAAAGAAGCTTCCCACAGTGAGGTAATTTCAACATTCTTCTTGCAGGAACTTTTTACCACTTACTGTTCACATCAGTCCATCCTCTTCTTCATAACTAGAGACAATTTCCCACTTACCAGTGTCTATCAATATGTTTCAAGGGATCCATCTCTTCAGCAAATCCACTGATTTATAGACTGGTTTCTGAAAGTAATGCACATCTTATCAGTGGGGTGGATGGAGTATTCTAATCTTCAGGATATCATCTCCTAAGTTTATTATCTATAACTGATTCATCACAGTCTCAGACGTAATGTTCATGTTTTCCACATGTATAGCAGTTTTCTTGTCATGCTTTTGGATCAGTTTCTGTATCTTAAAAGTTTTTTCTACAACTCTTGGCAATATGTCATTTTAAGTTGTAATCAAAACACTTTCTGGCCTGTGATTTACTTACTTTATCCTAAGTAAACAGTTGTCTGATTAAATTGTTTGGAATTCTGTTCCTAACAATATTTCACTTTTACGTGAAACACCTTCTGTCATGTAGTTTACTTCTTCCATTCTGAGTTTTAACAGTTGTCAGATGTTCTGAGCTCTTCTAAACTTCCATCAGAGGGAATATACATTTCATTTTCTTTTATTATAATCCTTCTCTACATTTTCTATGATTTCTTTAATCTTATCTTTGATCAAATTAGTTTTTGTCTCTTTCTTCTTGATCTAAGTAAGAGCAAACTAGGTATGAATTCCAAAATTGTTGGATACAGACATATAAACTGTATATGGTGTATTATGAATATTCTAAACAGATTTTAACTTTACTCAATATTTTGGGTCTACATGTTATAGAAATTGATCATTTGCATTTTAAGAGCTATATTTGTCATAAAAATATGTTGGTTCGTTTGCAGTTTGCATTTGTTGCTTTTGTTTTATATCATTTTTTCAGTATGTCAGTGAAAAATTTTCTAACAATAAGAACCTTCAATGAATTGTACTTTTGAAACACATTTCCAATAGCTATTGATCACTATTATGACCATCAATGATAGTTAATTGTTTGCTGTGATTCATTTGTTTGGTAAGTTCAAAGCCAAGTACATGAGATCTTTAGAAGGAAGTCTTTCATTATTAATCTTTAAACTTTTTTATTTTTTTTTGAGGATGTTGTATGTTGTTTGAATAGTGAAAAGAGGTGGAGGTTAGTGTACTTTGATTTTCAAAAAGTTTTTAATAAGGTGTCACACAAAGAACTAGCCAGGAAAATTAAATTGTTGGGGGTTGGGGAAAGACTAGTAATTTGGTCTGTAGGATGGCTGGATGAAAGAAAGCAAAAAAGTTATTAATGGAGTCCAGTGAAACTAGATCCTTGTTATTAGTGGAATTCCTCAGGAGCTGATGCTTAGGTCTTTAAAGATATTGATATGGGCATAATTATTAAACATTAAAGCTGACATTTACATTAAACTCTTGGGTATTTCTATCTGCATTGAGGATTTTTAAATATAGAATGACTTGTATCGGTTGGTTAGTTGGCAAATAACCTTTAATTATAGTAATTGCACTATGATATATTCGGATCACACATTTAATGTATATGGGAACACATTCAATAGTATGACTGAAGAAAAGGATTTTGGCATAATAGTGGATAAGTCAGTAAAACCATCATGGTAGTGCTCTATTGCTAACAGCAAAGCTGATAGAAGTGTAGGGTTTACTTGTAGACTTATTGATTACGAGTCAAAACAGGTAATTATCTATATACAAATCAAGAGTTAGGCTTCATTTGGAATATTATGTATAATTTCAATCTCCTTATCTAAGAAAGGATATGATTATTGACTTATTGAAAAAGGTTCAGAGGAGTGCTATTAGGATGATTCTGGGGTGGAAGGGTTACCTTATTTATAGGGATAGGTTAAGATCTCTTGTTTTTGTTTGTCAAAGAAAGGTAAGAGATGATCTTATTGAAGCTTAAAAGATTATAGATTATCTGAAAAATTGATAGGATAAAGATCTCTGATTTCCTTGTGCTACATTCTAAGCACAATGAAATGAGAGTACACAAGGTTAAGGTTTGGAGAAAAGACAGGTTAGGCTTGAGTTTTATTTTTATGGTAGAGTGATTTGCTTATGGACTGAGTTACCATCAACAACATTGAAGGCCTATACTTTAAGAGTTTTAAAAGAGAAATAAAAAATTTTCAGAAAAATATAGAGTGGGTTTAAGTTTTTTTCCCCAAGGTTAGGTGTACAGGACAGCCTTCTATGACTAAATGGTCCCTTGTTGTCCGTATGTTGTGTTAGAACTTGCTTGGACAAGCCAGTGACATGGATGTTGTGAAAAAATTTAAACTCTCCAAACAATGTTGACATCATTCTCTAATAGTTGTAGTAGTCAACACATTCAGTTGAGTTTTAAACAGCATTTATTGCAGCAAAGTATTTCTGATTTTTTTTAGTAAAAGTAACTGAAAGCTAACCTTTTCTTGGTTTTCAAGTTTTCAATCTATGTGTACAGAATTGATGAAGATGTCCTGCAAATAGACATTGTTATTGAAGGAGGATGGTTTTAAGTACTTAGACCTGTGGCTAGAATATATTGCAGGAAAAGTGTATTTTTATTCAAGGTTTGCATGCAAACTGAGAATCAGGAAATAGGAAAATATTGCAATTCTGGATGAACTTTAACCAACACTAGCTTTCGTTTTGTATTTTTTTCTGCTCAAATTTTTGAGACTGTAGCCATTTGGCCACTGAGGTAAAGTCCTTAATATCAGCTTGTCAATTGTTTACAGCAGGTGCACCACAATAATCTAATGAGCTGCATGGCAGTTGCAGCTGATATTGTCACTAAGACAATTTTTTCTAAATAATATATGAACATTTAGAAAATTATTTTAAAATATGTTTAAGTCAGAAAAAATGACAGAGGGGGGGATTAAGATAATAGATGTTGGTGAAATATAGAAGGTAAAAAGTTTGAAAAGATTAGTGTTAAAGCATTTGTTACTGCATTTTGAGCAAACCTTTTCATGAAATGTTGGCAGTTTAACTTAGAAATGCTGAGCAGTTGTATCTTGAAAAACTGGCTACAGAATGTAAATTTATTTACATGTAATTTATGGTGCAATTATGTACAGAACATTATAATAAATTATTTTTTAGATGATGTTTTAACAAATTTTTTCAACAGAAAAGGGAATACATACAAGTTTGAGTATAGTAAATTAGTGGTTATTAATCTGTTAAATTTTTTTTGAATGAAACAGGAAGTTAAAAAGTTTGATTTTTTTCCAGGTTATTAACAATGTGGTGTTTTGATAAAAATGAGTGTATGTGAACCTCTTCTGATGTTGAAAATAGACATGGTCTAATGTGTATTGGAAACTATTTTGGCTGTAAATGATGAAATTATCGAAGAAAATGAATGCTTTTATAGTATATAAAACACAAGTAAATATGCTGCAACTTAGCATGTGAAGCAATGGAGGACAAACGAGTTGCTGACTACTTTGTGGTGGCAGGCTTGCCAGATAATCCTGAGCCACTAGAAGAATTTTCTCAAGATGGAGTCACATTGAAAACTTCTCACACTTTAGCTCCTGTCACAGACATTACTGTAATTATTCGAAGCCAAGGAGAGATAGTACCTCAAAACTTTACCTGCATTGAGACAACTCCTTTGGGTTTTCCAGCCGATTTGAACCATGGTAGCTTACGGAGTCCAAGTATTTATTTATGTTACCGTAGAGGCAGAGACAAACCCCCCCTTGTGGATATTGGGTAAGGAAAGTTTCACTTTGTTGTGTTTGATATTAATTTTTAGCAGAAATAGGATGATAATATAAACACAAAGAAATGTATAGGTATGCTGTTGCTGATTACACAAGAGATATTTGTAACTAAGCATTAAGGTTTGAAAGCCTGTACCCAGGATGGCAGATACGAGTGATTCTTACTAACTCCCTACAGGCTTTTTATTTTTAAGAAATAATCATTGTCACTCAGTATAATGATCAAACTAGACACTAAACAAGCTATAGTTACCATATAGAGCTTCCATTAAGTTTCTTTTAAGTTATTTGTGATTTTACCATTGCTATTTATATTAAATAAATTTAGTGGAGCGATAAAAAAAATTAAACACCACAAGTAAAATTATTCTACCTCAGATTGAATGTTGGACTACTATGTAATCCTCTGTCATGGTTAGTAGTTAAGCTGTGAGTTGATTTTATGCTTTTTAGGAGTGCATGAAAAGTTCAGAAATACCCTTACCAAGTGATGGACTTGTGTAATGAGTTGACACCGGTAACTTAATTGATATAATTTGTTTCTTTTGAGCAGAGATTACATTGATGAATGTCGCATAAACTAATCAGTTTAATTATGATTAAATCAATTGTATCAAAAATAATCAAGTAACCAAAATTAGGGTATCCAGTTATTCCAACTGTATAAATAATCAATATATTCTGATTATGTTTGTTTGTTGTTAATCACAAAGCTACATACAAACGTTTTAAGTTTATCTGCTAATATCACTAATTTTGAACTGCTGACTCTACAACAGCACCAGCCTCCAACTTTTTTTTCTGCTTTTACTACTATGATTTGAGGGACACAGTAGTAATTGATTAATCATATGCAATCTGTTAGTGAGGCTGTTGATTAATTGGTTATCTAATACCCCTTTTGCCCAGCTCTAACCAGCAGTAGTGGAGGTCACCATTATACAGGAGTTTAAAGAGGAGAATCAATAGTTTCATGATAGGTTAAGGGTGAAATTTTTTTTCCCAAGGGTGGGTGTGCAAGGACAGCCTTGAGGGATAAATGGTCACATGTTGTCCATACGTTATGTATGTAATAAATAAGCCTAAATTAGCATTTTCAGGCCCAAGAATTACACCTTATGCTTAACTTTGGCAGTACTTTTATCTGTAAGAGTTATATGTCTTACAAAAGTGAAGGCAAAAACTAGCATTACAATGCACTTAAGGAAAAAATTTACTTTTTGTAAACTTGGACTTAAAACATTTAGTGTTGAGTATGATGATTTTTTTGGTATTGATAGTAACTAAAACTTTTCTATGCCTTATTAGAGTGCTGTATGAAACCAAAGAGCGAGTGATGGCAGACAGTCAGGTAGTTCACACGACACCCTATGGCCGATCTGCCAATGTGAACAACAGTGGATCTCGGACATTCCTTACATTCAGACGAGCAGCTACTAATGCTCCCTGTAATCAGTTGGTTGTGACAGACATTTGCATTATTTTGGTTAATAAGGTAATTGATTAGCTATGAATTTACTATATAAATACTTCTAATTACTTCAAGTTAAAATTTATTTTTCATTAAACCATTTTGAAATAATGTGACCAATCTATTTTTTTATGTAAAAGAAAATAAATAAGGATTCATATTGGATATGTATTGAAAACAAAGTTTTAAGCCAGTGAATTTGTTGTTTCTAATAGGGGGAGACACCACCACGTGCTTTTTGTATTATCAACAAGACCTTAAACAAAGGCATGGTAAGTAGCATGTTCTAAAAGGTAAAAGTTTTTTTATTTTAAGTTTGTTGAAAATAAAGTCAGTTAATTCTCTCGACCCGGGTTTCTGTGCATGTCACGATGTTTTAGTGAGTCACATTCAAAATTTAATTAAACTACTTTTTTTCATGGTATACCAATAAACGTAGCATAAAAACAGAGCTAATAATGTATATTTTAATAGTACACAAGTTTTAATTTCATACTTTTATAAGGCAATATTTAAAAGAATCTAGTATGAGAATTGTGACATTTGTTCTCTAGGCATCCTAATTTATTTACCACCCCTCAAGAAATATGAAGTTTAACATAACTTACTTGTTATAATATTGTCAATGCTCAGGCAATGCATAATTTTATAACTTTCAATCTTATTTAGTTACAGAGCTATCAAATCGAAAATCAGACCCCTCATACCATGACCACCTCTCACATCCTCTCTTTCAGAAACTGTCAATAGTTCTCTCTGACATTGAAATTATAGTATTTATAACCAAGGTTTTTAACCTGTCAAATGACAAATTATACTACATTGTTTACTGTACAGAGAATTGTCAATTTCTCTTTCAGTTTAATCTTTATTCCTATGGGAAGCACTCTGAAAAGCTCGGTAAATTTGTAATGGATCTTGTCGCATTGTTAGAAAAATTGTGATTGTTATGGAACATTGTATGCTTTTTTGCATGTTATTATTCTGCGTTCTTTGGTGCATTATGTAATGAAATAAAAAAATTAGTGCAGTACTACCATTAGTATAAAAAGTAGGGTTAAGTCTCATCAACATTCAACAGCAAAATAGAAGAGCCAGGTAAGTAATGTTTTTCATGTGTATTCTTTATTTATTATTATAAAAGCAACCAAAATGTAAAAATAGGAAACTTGTGTTACTTCAGGTTAGATTAGATGAACTAAATAATAATAATATAATGAAATATTTTCATGAGGTGCACTTGTGAGTAGCTCATGTATAATGTAATTGGATAATGTAATGTGAGCTGCATGTTTGCCGAGTAATTTACAACTTACACTGGCATGAATAATAATTAGACAGGGTCCAAAGGGCAATAAAATTTAAGTATAAAATAGATGTATACTGTTATCAGTTTAAAGCTATTTAGGATAAACAAATGTAGTTTTATATTACAATTTGAAGTCATTCTAGAAGGAAAGAAATGGCAATTTAGATTTATTTAGATTATTTTTTTTTTTGTGGTTACAAGGTGGGTCAATTTGACCAACATTGTATAAAGTTTGAGTAGAGAAAATAATGGGTAAGATATAAAGTTTTATGGAATAAAAATGTTTGAAATTTATTTAGGAGGTTTTAGATATTATACAAATAAAATTTGAGATTTCCAAAACATACTTACCTCCTCTCACACTACAGCTATAACTCAACTGCTAGGGTTTCTTTACTTTTGCCCTTCTAAACATTGGTCTGATTTTTTCTCAGTTGTTCCAGTCTTTTATTCCCCACTCAACTGCCCATGGCAATATCTGACTTGTACCTCACCCTTGGGCATTGTCAATAGATGCATTTGGTCACGACTGGACTGGATTGCAACTATATGCCTTCCCACCTATTTGTCTGTTACCCAGAGTCCTAGCAATGATTTGTTCAACCCCTGGTTGCATGTATTATGCTGGATGCACTAGTTTGGCTGTCTAAACCCTGGTTTCCACTTCTGCGGTAATTTCAGGAGTGCCCACCTCTTTGACTGTCTCTGTCGAGGCAGCCACAATATGAAATCTTAAACCCATCCAACCCTAGGCTCAAGCTTCATGCATGGAGGTTATGCGGTCCTTCGCACTGCATCGGGGTTTAACTTCTAAGGTTGCCATGTGCCTGTCTCAATCTCTGTGTCATTCCGTGATGGACATTTACCAATGGAAAGGGCACACACATATCAACAATGGTGTATTGTGAGGAGGTTGAACCTTTCCCTTAAGGTTAATTAAAGGATGCTTTGTCATTCTATCTCTGTCCTTCTTTATCCAGACAAGTCCTTCTTACCTCAGACACTGGAAACCAGGGAAGGGGATAAATCCTTTTCACTGATTCATTTGACCACTATTTCTCACTTCCATGACCGATTGGATCCTGATTGTTTGTTATTTGCCTTGAAGTGTTAAATGTCTTGCACTAAAGCTTTTACAGGTGCTGAACAACAGTTTTTTATTCATTCTGACTCTTCAATTTCCCGGGGTTTATCTTTGCTTACCTTGACGGAGTGGGTATGAAAATTGATCCATATTGCTTATTCTGGGCTCTCTTTGGAGGAGAGGAGACTTCTGTGAGTGATGTATCATCAGATTTGACACATTTCTATGTCTTTAGTGACCCGGTTGAATTGCCCGATGGAGGACATTGTGCGGGCTGGTATGTGGACCTCCCCCAATACTTTTATCTCACATTATTTGCATGATCTGGCAATATCTTCCTGTGACGGTTTTCAACTAGATTGTACAGTAGGGTGAGTATTTTCATTACAAATCTCATTTTATCTTTCTTTTCCAGGGTCCCTTACATATTTTTTGCCCAGTGAGGTGTACTTTTATCAAACCAAATCCAAATCCTTACTAACTACCATTAATTCAGTATACTTTATCTAGATTGTGACAGGTTCTGTAGAAATGAGGTGTTCCATAAGACCACCTAGAGGTAGACTGGGTATTATTAATGCACTATGCTGGACTTCCACTTGTGGGCTATCATGATTAAAGCATAAGGGGATCCTGCCTGTCCCTGTCCATCAGTGGATTGAATAAATCAGGGTCGGTTTGTTTTTTAAAAATGTAGGAAACATAGTTCACCTATTGCACTTTTCCCAGAGCAATGTTCTTCAGGACACCCCCCCCTCCTCTATATTCTACTAGTGGGTCTAGGGAATCCTTACCACTCCCAGTTTACAGTTACTGGGGTGGTGGACAGAGGTTATTCCTCCAAAGTGTTTGGGTGACTTTCCTCCACTCTTGGAGAAGAGGGTGAAGTTGGGGGCATTCCTACTTGGGACCCTGGGTGTTTTTTTTTCCCAGATGTTGATAGGAGCGGCACTAGCTTATGTGGGAGCCTACTTATAATATCAGTTCAGATTTGATGCCCATCTATCCGGTTGGGTTGAGCGTAGCTTTTCTTTTTGACCAATATTGGTTCAGATTTGATGCCCATCTATCCGGTTGTGTCGAGTGTAGCCCTTCTTTTTGACCAATATTGGTTCAGTACATTGTTCATGGAAAAGGGTCCTTTGTCTCCTCGTAATTGTGAATGCAGAGTGGTCCCATCGTGGCTCCTTGGTTGAGCACCGTTTGTTCCACGTCCTCCCCATAACTCCAGGAGCAAGTGGTTGGGGAGTGAGGATGAGTGTTCATAATTCCAGACTGGATGAGTTCTGTTTTCTCAGGTTGAGTATGGCAAAAAGGATCCTGTCATTCTAAGTTTGAGGTATTGCCTTTCAGACTTCTTCAGGTTGAGGAGAGGGTTTGTTCATTTTGGTGACTCGTAATGCATCACTCCATGGCTACAGATTGGGATTCACTCACAAGTGTTTCTATTGCAGCCCAAATGTCTTAGCCACCAAAGTGGGATTTAGGGGCCATGGCCCTATAATTCCAACCCCACGCAGTGGGACCTCAGCTACCTAGTTGGGGCCTGGCCAATAGTAATGACAGATTATGTGCATAACGTAGGTTCTGGGTGGAGAGCATACCTGTTCCAGATGTAGTGGTACTCCCCCACTAGGATACTAATATTCTATTGGCATGACCATGATCTATGCAAACACATTCTGTATGGATAATGCCCTCATTGGCCATCTTCTGCCTTTCTTCCCCACTAAGAGTTGGTGTTAGAGACTGTGGATTGGGTCAGTCTCAAAAAAGTGACAAGATTATCTGTAAGAGGTGTTTATATATAGTACCAAGATAGAGGATGTCATCAGACAGATATTACCAAGGGGCTAGTACATAGAAATACTATCTATATTTACAGACAAATCTTTAGTAAACATACTTCATTAAAAAATCTGATTTTCTGTGTACAAAAGACTTGTAATGGTTACTGAAAATCTACCAATTTTTGTGGAGATACACCAAGTTTATTAAAAGTTATAGTGTAGAAACTATAACAAATACAAAAGTGGTTACAAGGTTGGTAGATTTGACCGAACCTGTGTTGAGAGATTTAAGTTATGATATACTCAAGTTTTCAGGTAACTATTGAAGAGAAAGTTTTTCATTTGTATTTAAATGTATATATGTTAATTTTTTGAAGAAAAACATTCTTGTAATATTATATTTTCAATTTCACCTTAACTGTGCTATTAACATGAGTACTGTCAGTTAAAATTTGTGTTTTATTCACCAAAAACAGCTATGTCATATTTGTAAGTTTGTTTGAAAGTATAATCTTTTACTAAAAGAATGGTGATAGTTACAAACATAAATTTAGAGTTTATAAAGTCAGGTTATAAATACACTGCAAGGCTATAGCATAAGCACTTTTGATCCTCACATGTACACAGAATTGATGAGCTTGTGCAGTGGTATTCTAAGTTTGATCAATGTAATTTTTTCTGTTTTACTGCCCAGGAGCAACTGGTTAGTTCTGTTTAGTGTACATTGTCCCGTGATTATTTGCCACTGGATGGTTTTTTGTCTTTGAATTATGTATTAATAGATAATGTTGTGTTTGATGAAATAATGAGTTCTATTTGACTTGTAGTTTTGTCAAAATACAATTTTAGGCTAAATAATGATGAAAATATTTATATCTCTTGTGAAGATATTTGCTGAAATTGTGTCATGTAATATGAGAATCAAATATTTTGTTGCAAAAAGAGATGATAAAAAACAAGGGGAGCTTTTTGATTGCTTGTGATAAGTGACTTTCATAGGAGTAACATCTGTAAATTTGTGCTGTTCATAGTGTATTAAACAAGCATGTGACAGATGATTGTATTTTGATTACTCTTTCTGGGGTTCTTGAACATCATGTTAGCTGTGTCGTAGTTTGATATATTCACATTGTTTTTTTTTTCTCTAACTTGTAGCAGTTCTTCCCAACATTTATCATGCCACATGCTGGCAAATTCTGTGTAAAACACTTACAAACCATTAGGCCTGTTAATGTAAGCCTATAATTTAACTTATTTAAGAAACCTTGAAATGAATGCTATGAGGCTCAATTATTATACAATGAACTAAGAAGGAAACACTTTTCATCTATTCTTAACACTTTTACAAATTATAGGTTTCAAGGCAATTTAATGTTTCACAATACACATTTCTTTCTTTCATCTTTTTTCTATTTTCAATCGGAATGTTTCTGCAAACTGGCCAAAACATGTCTGTGGACAAGTGGTTGGGAAATCTTGATTCTAATTTTTTTGTAATTTTTGTTTATAAATTCTTTAGTCATTTGTCTATAAATTTAATAATTATAGTGAGGTTATATTAAAGCATATATTAGATATTGTGATTGTTTTGTAATTTGTACTAGTTTCTACGTACTTCTCAAATTTTTGTGTTTTCATAGGTGGGCTCTGATGTTTACATCTGCTACAAGAAGTCAATGAATAGACCAGATCTTCTGTGTTTTAAACCAGGTATTAAAATTTGTCTCTGGAAAACTGTCATTGATATATTTAAAGTTTATATATGTTTTTTTTATTTTTTATTTTTGATTCTGAACTTAGACATTCTGCAACCATTTACTTATCTTTAAAATAAATACAAGTATGTATTTATTTATATCTTTATATCCAGTGTTATAAAACTAAATGCAAGTACTCCACTGAAGTGCATAACTATCAAATATATACAGTAGTGCACAAATTTACTAGAACACATCAACATTTCTCATTTTATTAGCTTTACACATAAAATAGCCATTGATTTGGTATGGAAATTAACTTATAATTATTGCAAATTAATCTCACAGGAAGCTGTTACCAAACTAATACACAAATAATGTCTTTATGTTTTTTTAATGCTAACATTTAGTGTGGCCACTTTTGGTAACAGTTACAGCTTAACATCGTTGCTTTGTGTCTTCTGATTTAGTCAAAATCTCTGGTTTAGTGTGATTCCATTTTCCTAAAGCTGTGTCCACAGGTTTTCTTTTGTTGATATTTGTGTCAAAGAAGGAGTCCAGCAAATCCCAGAATTGTTCCATGGGAGCTAAATTCTGATCTTTGTGGTGGTCATTCCATTTTCTGGAGATCTCATGAGCATTTTTGCTTTCTTTCTTGTACTAACAGGCTTAAAAGTTTTTGGAAGTGTGCTTGGGATTTATTATCGTCTGGAAAAGTGAAATTCTGCTCTATGAACGTCTTTACAGAGAGTGTAGCATTATGGACCAATATACTGTGATGTTTATTCTGATAGCCATGATTCCATCAGTTTTTGTAAATATGACTAACATCATTCACAGATATTGCACCCCAAACCATCACAGAATCTAGTGCATGCTCAACTGTTGGCACTCAACCTTCTCATTGAATCTTTGGTGAGTATCTGCCTGTCAGTTGGAACCAAACAGTTCAAATTTATGCTTGTCTGTCCAAAGCACTTTGTACCATTGTTCCAAAAACCAGGATACATATATTTTCAAAGAAAGCTTGTTTCTTTGCTTTATCCCCTTTAGACAGTTAGGGATTTCTTGCTGTTCCCCAAAGGCTAAATTTCTGCAGCATTCTTGAGGCTGTACTTCTTGAAATTTTATCTGTATGTCACTTATCAGGGAGGTGGTAGCACTGTCTCTGTTGGGATGGCTCGGATTGTTCATTGAAATGGTATTTTAAATATCTCATCAGTATGTCATAATAACTTTTCAAATATGTGTTTCCTTTTATGTCACAAGTTCAGGGAATGTCTGTAAATATCATAGTAAAAAGTTTGAATTTGTTGTTCTTCTTTCTTCTGCTTCTTTTTATTACATAACTCAAAAACCAAAACAATGGTGTCAACTAATTTTACTGAGGGGACATAGTTTCAAACAGAGTATCTGCTGTTATAAATATTATTAATAACTAGTAGTAATTAAAAAAAATTGTAGTGTAAATGATATTATCATTACCCCTTGAAGTTAGCTTTCTTCCAGAAATTTGGTCTTTCCTTAGAAAGCTTAAGTTCAGGGTGAAACAGGAATTACCAGCCAATAATAGATAAAAACAAATATTATAGTTAGAACCTCATTGTATTTAGAACTTGGTTATAAGTATAACCTTTCTCTGTGTATTGTAACACTGCATTAAAAAAAAGTAAAGAAAAAACTTTTAAAAAGTTAGTAAATGTAGGGATGGCTGTCAGAATTTAAAATATATATTATTTTTGCTAATTGTCAAAATAAAAAGGCTTTTACTTATATTTCTTAATAGTATAAATATATACTATGTTGTTGGGCTTAGGATTCTTTTACAGTAGGTGTCTGTGACTTGTTAACAATAAATTCAATGATAAATAAAACAGCATGCACTTCACTTGTTTTCAAAATAATATATAAACACTATCATAAACACTATATATGTAGTTCTCTCCTTCTTGTCAAAAGTCCTATTCAATTACTTTAGAATTTCAGTTGATAAGCAGACCTATTTTCTCTATTACTATTGCACTAGTATTCTGTGTGTGATTCATTTACAATTATGGTGCGAGTTACCGTAATTGTTAGGTCTTATTTTTCTGAAAATCCTCTGTTCCTTTTGTCAAAGTGCACACAGGCTGATTCAATTACTTTAGAACCATGCTTTAACAGAATACATTATTTTTCTTATCTCCATTTCTACCATTAGTCTTAGTAGTTAACGTTTCCTTTTGTAACTTTACTTTCTTCTGCTTTTCACTTGTCTTATGCTATTTATATATTTATCACCTAATCGTCTGTCCACCTTCAAAATATTTAACGTTAATGTCTTGCATGCGACGTTCAGTGGTCTCAACATCAATGATTTATTAACAAAACCTCCCACAATCATCTGCCCTTAACTCTTATTATAACAAAAAGTAAACAATAATAAAATATTCACTCACAAAAACAAATCAATCAAGAACACCTAAACTAAGCAGTCTTTTATATCATGACAATGGCATTTGCATCATCACTGCATAATATTACAGGCAAAAATTAATATATAACAATTTTACTACAAAGGACATAGCATGTATATACACAGTGTGGTCACAAATAAACAGACACTACCTTTTCAGAAAAAATTAAAATTTTCAGTCATATTCATATAAATTGATATATTTATAATTCAATTAATATCTAGTAGATCTTTCTTTCGCTTCGTGGAGTTCGTTGATCCGTTGGGGCATCGTGAGAATCATCTCGTCAATATTAGATTGTGGGATTTTTGCCCACATTTGCTTCAAAACTTGGAGTAGATCGCTCTTTGAAGTTGGTTTCTTTGGTTGTTTCTTGACTTGCTGGTCGAGTATGACCCAGAGGTTTTTGATGGGGTTCATGTCAGGAGATTGGCTCGGCCAGGGCAACTTCTGGATACCATTTTCTTCCT